AATTTGAAAAATGTTGATTTTCGTTATATATATCTATAAATACGTATAAAACATAATCCTAAAAAATATTTTTAAAATATCGTGATTTGGCGGATAACCGACTCGTAGCTCACCCAATGACTAAATACTGAATTGCTGGCGTTATATAACAAAATCTCTTAATTTTTGTTTTATACGTGTATATTTACGTGCTATGCATTTTCCTAAAAAATATTTTGAAAATAATTTGATTTGACCGATTGCCGAGCTCAAAACCGACCACTCACTAAATATTCGATTGACCAAATTTACTAGTAATATAATGTGAAAAATGTTGATTTTCGTTATATATATCTATAAATACGTATAAAACATAATCCTAAAAAATATTTTTAAAATATCGTGATTTGGCGGATAACCGACTCGTAGCTCACCCAATGACTAAATACTGAATTGCTGGCGTTATATAACAAAATCTCTTAATTTTTGTTTTATACGTGTATATTTACGTGCTATGCATTATCCTAAAAAATATTTTGAAAATAATTTGATTTGACCGATTGCCGAGCTCAAAACCCCACTTATTAAATATTCGATTGATAAGATTTACTAGTAATATGATTCGAAAAATGTTCATTTTTTGTTTTATATATCTCTAATAATTCTCCAGAATTAATTTTATCAAACAGCTAGTCGAGTCATTCCTTTTTAAAATACAATAATAACATAATCGTATCTTAGGAGGGAATTCAGCAAGGTGACCCCTGAGGCCCAGCCTTCTTTTGTATCGGGATCCACAAGATTAGGAAATTCATTCTAAATCTAACTTTACTTTAAATTCCTGGTATCTTGATGACGGCATTATCTCGGGGCAACCTCTCCTCAATCATGTCCATTCCCCTCATCATTGAGAATCTCTCTCATATAACTGGACTATCTCTTAACCTCCCCAAATGTGAGATTTGCTTCCTAAATCCCAGTTCTATCCCTTCAGACATGGCATATCACGTCATCAACATTGACGAGATGACTCATCTTGGATCACCTATGGGAGGTGAAAAAGCCATCGAGACATTTAAACAAATCCCTCAACAATTTATCCAAATTAAATACATTATTTAATTACCTCCCAGCCCATCAATCTTTTTTTTAATAAAAAATTATTTAAACATACCTAAAATCCTTTCCGCCCTGAGATCCTCTCCGATCTTTAAATGCTGTGACTTGCTAGTTTCTCATGAAACCTAAATTATGGGTCTTCTTGAAAACATGCTAAACCTTAAATTTCCCAATTCATCTTGGCTTCAGGCCACTTTCCCGGCAAGTCTGGTGGTATTGGTATCCGATCCCCGATACAACTTTAACTCTCAGCCTTTATCTCATCTCGTCTTGCTGCAAAATCTATTATCGACAATGGATCCACTCCTTCAGACACTGACCTCTTACAGTTCACCATCTGGGACAGCAACTGCTCACCCACCCTTTGTCGTCCGCCAGCATTCAGAAAGATTAGAATGCTCCTCTGATAGCCCGTTCCGTTGAATACCTTATTTCGAACAGGCCCTTTGAGGACAATCCCAATAATTTAATATTATATGCAGGCTCAGGTTATGAATGGCTCGAAACCATCCCCAGTTCAGACCTTGGCCTCCTCTTTTCTGAAGAACAGCTAGGATTTCCATAGCCCTCCGGATGTAATGCCATGATTCCCTCCATTTGCATCGACTGTGGCCATCCCATCGAATCGAAAGCTTACCATCCTTTGCACTGCAAGTTCTCCCATGGACGACAACCGCGCCATAAATCTATTAACAACATACTCCTAGCTGCTCTTAAAAAAGTTAATATCCCATCCACCCTCGAACCAGTGGGCCTCTCAAACGAAAACGCCCTGATGGCATATCTCTCATTCCCTAGACTAATGGTCTTCCCCTAGCCTGGGACTATACCTGTGTTGATTTTGCCGCCAAGTCCAACCTCTCATTTTTTGCTATCGAAAAGGCCGAAATCCTAAAAAAAACAAATATGCTGGCCTCATTAATACCGTGTTTATCCCTATTTTTATCAATACCCTAGGCATATTCGGAAGTGATGTTCTCAATTTCATCAAAACTAAAGGAAAAAAATGAGGCAGATCTCAGGGAACCCCAATAAAGGATTTTACCTTCGTCGGAAATCTGCCGATCCAATTTTTTAAGCATTCACTCTTCTCTAGGGTGATTTGTACCCATTTTTTAAACATTTTATAGATTTTTTTTATCCCATTTCTCACTTATACATACATATTTTTTAATTCATTTTTTATATATCATTAGATTTTATATATATATTTTTAATTATAATTCGTAAATGAAAAATTTGTTACTTAAATAAAACTATGATTTAAAAAAATAAAATTATAATATTATTATAGAAATATAGTGTTTAAGATAGTTTTTATTTATTTAAAGCACTCTAATTCTCATAAAATTTTTATATTTAACTTAATAAATGTCAAAAATATACCTATTATAGAATAAGGAAAATTATTATTCGATCGAATTATTCGATTAAAATAATTTATATTAATAAATTTCGAAAAATAATCATATATTATTAGTAGGAATTATTTGCAATAATTCCTATTTAATAAAATTTCCTAGTTATTTCTAAATGTTGTTAACGGATGTTTTTATTCGAATAATTCATAATACAAAATTAACTTCCAAAAATTGTTTTATGATGGACGAAGAAAGTGTTTATTCTTATATGTAATTTATAACACATATACGATTATAAATAACTAGTAGCTATCCCGTCAAGAATGACAGGCGAACCAGATATTTCTCCTGAATAATGATGGAGAAATCATAAATTTGACTTTTTGCAAAAACTTTGTTGTTGGTATACTTGTCTTTTACATGATATGAATATTATATTGATTTTTATACATTATATATAAATTTACTATATATGTATGCTTCTATATTATCTTACTAATAAAATTTGTACCCATAGTTAAATTTCACAAAATAAATTTAATATGCTATCTTTATTAATTTACGGCAGAGACCTGCAGAGGCACCATTTGCACGGCCCGGCTTTAAATTTTTTAGGCCCAGATCGGATATTTTTTAAAAAAATTTTTTACGGCCCGGCCCGGATTTAAAGATTTAAGGGCCGGCCCGGATTTAAAAATTTCAGCCCGGCTCGGAATTTTTTAAAATTATATTCGACCTGGTATATACAAAAATTTACCTATGAGGTATTTTACCATATTTTTCAGCGAGTATTATCGCTTATTATTTAAAAAATACATGAAAAAAGCTAATATTTTGAGAATATTATATTGAATTTATAAAAATTATAAAACTGTTATTTATAAAAATGGATATTTTGAGCATATAATATATTTTTTGCATTTATAAAAATAAAACTAATATTCATAAAAATGGTAATAATATTTTGAGCATATACTATATTTTATATTGCATTTAAAAAAAATAAAAATATTTAATTTATAAAAATGGAAAATATTTTGAGAATATAATATATTGTATTTAATTTACTATTTAATTTATAAAATAAAAATAAATCGCTATTTAAAAAAATGCAAATAGTATTTTGAAAATATAATCTAATTGCACAATATTAATATAATTTATTTTATAATTTTTAAATATTTTATATTACATTTATAGGTTGGTTTTTCAGGTGTAAAAAAAAATTATTAATTTTTATGGATTTACCAACAGATTTATGTCATTTTAGATGTGATGTACCGTGTTTATAATTATAAGATAATAAACTTGAACAATTCTTACATTGTACGTAGCCAATGTTTTTTTTATTTTCATCTATGATGATGTTAAATTTAACCCATATTTCAGATTTTAAATTATTATTTGTATTTCTAAAAGAATAAATATTATTTTTAATTTTATTAATTATATAATTAGTATTTTGTGCCATGATATTCCATTATTTGATTGTTTTGGTAAATATTCTTAAAATTTAGATATGAATTATAAAAAAATATTATTAATACTTGAATATTGGGGCTTATTTAAGATATTCCTTTATTTGATTGTTTTGGTAAAATATGTTGTAAAAATTTATGAATTATAAAAAAATATATTAATACTTTGAATAAATTTTCAGGAAATTAATAATTAGATCGATCTGTGATGTGTTAACCATCACCCAATATTATAACCATTAACTCATAATGTAAAAATTTTTATAAAAAATATTAAGGCCCGGCCCGGATATATTTAAAAAAAATTTTTTAGGCCCGGCCCGAGTATATTTAAAAAATGGCCCAACCCGGGTATAGGGCCGGGCCTGCAGGTCTCTGATTTACAGTTAAATAAAATTTTTGAATTGAATCTAATATTCAACAAATCGAATTGAATAATCATTTTATTATTCGTACGAATACAAATAATGAATTATTAAATTTAAACAAATACGAATAATTTCATTATTCGATTCGGAATTTTGAATCAAATACGATTAATACAATTATTCGATTTGTATTTTTGTAGATCTAGTCAAAAATATCAAATTTTAATATATAAATTGAGCAAGATTAGGTTAATTTTGTCAAATTTCTAAATTAACTCAACAAGTAAACTTTATAACACATATTATTTAATTATCAAAATGTTTATATTTTCAATTGCCTTTGCAATAACATTTATCTATACTAGTAAAATTATTGAGATTCTAAATCATTATAATAAAAACTATATATGTAACAATTTTCAAATTAATAAATTTCATGGATACAATATAATGATGATCATATACAGCATTAATAATATAAAGAATATATACATTTCAAATGAATTGAAAATTGAAATCCAGAATATTTTATTAAATTTAAAAAAATATTCTTTCATGAGTTTTCTTTTATATTAATGATGATATTTGAAATTAGAATTATTGTTTCTCATCTAATAAATGAACTATGTCATTTTCAAATGTCTAAAATCACTTTAATATAAATGTATATCATTTGTAATATGCTCACAAATGGTTCTTCTTTAGTTCCATATCTTTTTACAATCTTACCTTGACGATTAATCAAAAATTTAGCAAAATTCCATGAAATATCCCTACAAAACAAAATTAATATATGATGACAATCAGGATTGCTTTAATTAACTCATTTTTTTTCAAAAATTTAAATAATGGTATACAATTGTCACCATTTACATCTATTTTTGAGAACATATCAAATTTGACAGGATATTTTGAAACAAATTTTTTAATATCAGCTTCACTACCAGGTTCCTAATGTTTTAGTAAGCATTAGGAGACGATTTTAAAGTTATAGTTTACTTGATTTCCAAATTGATTGCATGGAAACGCTAGTATCCTTAAACCATTCGACTCATACTTTTCATATAAAGCTTCTAATTGTTTATAATTTTTTTCAGTTGAACCTCATTCACAAGCCACATTGACTATCAGAACAACTTTACCCCTGAAATAACAAACAATAAAAAAAAAATTAGTTAAAAAATTACTTGTAGATATCTAGTGAAATCTCTTTTCCATCAATAGTTCTGGCCTTAAAATCATAAATACTATCTGGTGTTTTACAAGCTGAAGTCATTTAAATTATGAATTGAAAAATTTGAATTATGAATTGATAAATTTAAATGATATCTGAATGACAAAATGACTTAGCACTTTATGATAATTTTGCGAATGTCATTTAGCCTATGGAGAATATCAGCTGTTGTAAAATATATTAAACATAAGGAATATAATTTTTATATAATGCATGTTGTTAAGTTAGCCGAAAATTATATTTATTTTATTACTTTTATAATAAATATTTTAAAAGATAAAATTATAATTATTTTACATTATTCGAGCACTTCAATGGAAGATTTTACCAACGTCAGAAGCGGTTTAATTTTTAAAGCATTCACTCTTCTCAAGGGTGATTATATACCTATTTAAATTTTTTTTCTCAATTCTTTTTAATGTTTTTCTTATTTGTTTTTGTGAAAAAATATTTTTTTAATGTGATATTGTTGGTATTTGTATTTAATATTAAAAATTGAAATCGTTTTATTAAAAATTTAATATCATAATAAAAATACTTAAATTATATTATTTCTTATAATCAAATATAATTTTAAACTTTTTCCTATGGAGCTTAGCTCAATGTCGTATATATACATCCAATGGCTTAGCAACAGAACATTATTATTTTAATGATTTTATTTATATAATTATATATTTATGCTTGCGTTAAGAATAAAAGGAAATGCTTATTTACTTTTTTGTTATGAAATAATAAACAACTGTACTGTACTATTGCTTTATGGTGTTAAAGTTTTGATGTATAATTTTTTAAGTGTTTTAATTTATAAAAGTTTTAAAAATATATTTTCGCGAAATTTAGTAATTTAGATATTTATATTTCCATAAATAATTTTAACTAAAAACTTGGCTAAAAATATCTCGGATTAAAGTTGCCTTTGTTATAAATGAGATTTATATTATATATTATCAATGTTATAAATGTCATATATATATATTATCAATGATATAAATGTCATAGATACAAATCAATCATATTAATATATTTCATGAAGTGATTGCCAGTCAAATAAACTTAATTAGTATATGTTGTCGATGATTTATTATGAATAAAGAAGACAAAAATAAAGTAATTATGAATAAAGAAGAAAAAAATGATAACATTATGATCAAATTCGATTCTTTCGATAATCAAAACAACTTTGCTGATTACATTGAATATATTGATGATATGTTGGAGATAAGAGGTATATTAATAAATAATGAAACCAAAAAAAAAATATTATTTGCGTATATGGGTATTAGTAATTTAGCTGAGATGAGGTCCTTTGTTTATCCAAAAATATTGAAAGATCTTAATTATGAAGAGATTATTGAAGTTGGTAAGAAAGTTTTTAAGCCTATTTCAACATTATTTAGCTCGAGAATTAAATTTATTCGGATAGAAAGATGGGTTGGTGAATCAGTTGCGGAGTTTGCAGCTCGACTTAAAAAATTGGCTCAAGAATGTAATTTGAATCTGACCTAGATGGGAGATTGAGGGATCAGATGGTGGCTGGAATCAAAATGAGTGCATTGGAGAAAGATATTCGCACTAGATTTCCAGATGGAATAAATGACTTAGGAGAAATGGTGAGTTTTCAACAGGTTTTAAATATGGCTTTGGCAATGGAAAGGGCTGAGGATGGAGTGACAAATATGATGGTAAAAAAAGTCAATAAACCTAAGGAGCAGATAGAGAATAATCAAGAAAATTTTTCAAATCAAAAGTACTCATATAATAATAATAACAAAGAAAAGGGTAATTTTAGTTATTACAATAATAATAATTTTAAGTTTAGAGTTAACAATAAATTTAACAATAATGATATGTATAAGTTTAATAAATGCTCAAAATGTGGAAGAACTCATCCCCCTTTTCAATGTTTTGCATCAAGGGTGAAATGTTATAATTGCCAAAAGGTAGGGCATTATGCTAAATATTGTAAGGGACAGAAGTTACATGCTATGCATATAGATGACAATGATTCATCAGATTCAATTAATAATATATCCCAAATTGGTAGAAATAGTGCAAAGATATTTGTTTGGATTAATGGAGTACCTATAGAATTTGACTATGATACGGGGGCACAGGTATCGGTGATTGGGAAACAATATTGGGATGAAATTGGCCGACCCAAACTTGGACCAACCAAACCTTTATCAGTATATGGTAACCAACCGCTAGATGTGCTGGGTGAAACTATGGTGAGGGTTCGTCTTAGAAAGATAAGCAGATCACTACCGATTGTGGTGACCGGTTCAAATGACATTCCATTATTTGGACTACCATGGATACTGGCATTTAATATGTTTATTCCACGACAAGTGACTATACGTAGTATCACAAATAAAGAGGTTATGACAACCAATAAACAAATTGCTGGCATGACAACAGAATTTATTAGTGTTTTTGATGACAAGCCTGGACGGGTGAATGATATAGAAGTTAGCATACATTTGAGTGAGGCAGCAAGGCCGAAATCATGGCCAGCTCGTAGAGTACCTTTTCCATTACGAAAACCAATTGAAATGGAACTCGATAGATTGGTTAAATCAGGAATATTGAAGGCGATTGATCCAACACAAAAACGATTGACATGGGCCACTCCAACGGTAAACGTACGAAAAACAAATGGAGAAATCAGGATTTGTGCGGATTTTAAGGTGACATTAAACCCATATATTTTGTACGATTATCATATTATACCAACGGTGGATGATCTTTTAACCAAATTAAAAGATGGATTGAAATTTACGGTAATAGATTTGAAAGATGCATATTTACAATTACCAATAAAAGAAAGTTCAAAAGAATTCTTAACCATATCGACCCACATTGGTTATTTCCAATATCAATGTATGCCTTTCGGTCTTTCTAGTGCGCCGACCATATTTCAAAGATATATGGACAATTTATTACAAGACTGTCAAATGACTGGAGTATATCTTGACGATATTATCATAACGGGGAAAAATGATGTAGAACATTTGAATAACGTAAAAAAAGTACTAATGAAACTAAAACAGGTGGGTATGAAGGCAAAATGGGCCAAAATACGTTTTTTAAATGAATCAGTTTCTTTTTTGGGTTTCGTAATAGACAAATATGGAATACATCCAGCGAAAGAAAAAATAGATGCTTTTCGAAGGATACCAACTCCTAATAATATACACCAATTACGATCTTTTTTAGGACTTGTGAATTATCACGAGAGATTTTTGCCACATCTACATGGAATTGCCGCTCCTCTGCATAAATTAACAAGCATTAAATCTTGGTGGGGTTGGTCGGACAAGGAACAAGAGGTATTTGATAAAATAAAACAGCTTTTGTCAACAAATAAAAAGCCAATTCCATATTCACCAAACTTGCCAATTATATTGGAATGTGACGCTTCCAACACTGGTTTTGGAGCTGTTTTATGTCATTTAGTGAAAAAAGATATTAGCAGACCAATCGCATTTGCCTCGAGAACACTTCTAGAGTCAGAGAAAAATTATCCACCAATAGAAAAAGAGGCACGAGCACTTTTGTTTGGTATGGAAAAATTTATACATTCATTTTTGGTCGAAAATTTTTATTACGAACAGATCACAAACCTTTGGAAAAATTATTTGGTGATAAACGGGAACTACCAAAAATATCCAATAGTCGATTAACGCGCTGGGCTTGGAAAATGTCCGCATATGATTTTGATATTGAATATGTTCCTGGAAAAGATAATAAAGTAGCTGATACATTATCTAGACTGCCAATAGATGGCATAAAATCAAATAATGATCAAAAAACGCGTTAAAAATTAGAGCTATAAATTTGCACGATATAAATATTAGTCAAGTTGAACTCCAAAAGGAAACAAGGAATGATAGCTTGTTAAAAAAGTAGTTAAAAATATTGAGCATGGATGGGTGGATTTATGCGAAAAAAAATACAGAGTTAGTTTGTTTTTATAATCGTAGAGAGGATTTGTCAGTAGATCATGATGTTATTGAATAGAATGGGAGGTTGGTAATTCCAACCATTTTGAGGAAATAAATTTTAACGATTATATACAGAGGGCATCCAGGAATAAATGCTATGAAATCAATTTTTAGAATGTATTGCTGGTGGCCGAATTGCGATAAAGATATTGAACAATATGTTCGTCAATGTATGCCTTGTCAAAGTAATCGGTCGAATATTATGGAGGTTCCTTTATATTCGTGGAACATATCTAATATACCAGGGAACGAATTCATTTGGATTTCACGGGGCCTATTGATTCGTATTCATGGATAGTTGGAGTTGATGCACATACTAAATGGGCTGAGGTTGAGTTAATGAGAGAGACCACGTCCACGACAATGATCAGGGTTTTAAGGAAATGGTTCGCACGGTTTGGAACACCTAGACAAATCGTATCAGATAATGGACCTCAATTTATTTCTGGAGAATTTCGAAAATTTTGTTTCGAGAAAAATATTAAATTGATACATACAACACCGTACCATCCAAAAACGAACGGTTTAGCGGAAAGAACGATACGAACCCTCAAGAGTCGATATTTTGCAACTAGGAAAGACATCAGGGAGCCCGAGGAAGCCATGGGAGAAGTTTTGCTAGCATATAGAATGGGTGAGCATCAATCAACTGGACGTTCACCGGCTAAGTTATTATTGGGGCGAAATTTAAAAACGGGATTGAATTGGTTACGTCCTAATGTTAGTTATGAAATGGAACGATCGAATATAAGACAAAAAGTAGCGCATGATGAACATAGTCATATGAGAGAATTTGAGATTGCACAACCGGTATGGGTGCATAATGAAATAAATTCAGGTTGGAGAGAAGGAATTATAAAATCCAGAACTGGTAGATATTCTTATTTGGTAGAAAGCAAGGATAGAATGGTACGAAAGCATGCGGATCAACTTCGAAAAAGGGAGGTGGCTAAAGAAATGGAGAAGTCTGGGCCAGGGAAAGATAATGGAGAAAATATGGAGTCAAAGAGAGAAGAGGAAAATATAAAAAATAAAGAGTCGGATATAGTTGAGATTTTAGAAAATGTGGAAGATAACGGAAAACTAGAAACGCGGAAATCACAAAGAGCCAGGAAACCTACAAATCGGCTTATTGAGGAATTGTAAG